TCTGTCTCTCTCTGTCCCAAAAATAAATAAACGTTGAAAAAAAAAATGTTTAAAAAAAAAGAAATTAAAGGTATACATATAAAAAAGGAAGATATAAAACTTTTTGCAGCTGACGTAATAATCTATGTAAAAAATCAGGAAGCATTGACAAAAAAATGGAGCTTATAAGTGATTATAGCAAGGTTGCAGGATACAAGGTTAATATACAAAAGTCAATAATTTTCCTATATACCAGCAATGAACAAGTGGAATATGAAATTTAAAACAATACCATTTAGGGGCGCCTGGGTGGCGCAGTCGGTTAAGCGTCCGACTTCAGCCAGGTCACGATCTCGCGGTCCGTGAGTTCGAGCCCCGCGTCGGGCTCTGGGCTGATGGCTCAGAGCCTGGAGCCTGTTTCCGATTCTGTGTCTCCCTCTCTCTCTGCCCCTCCCCCGTTCATGCTCTGTCTCTCTCTGTCCCAAAAATAAATAAACGTTGAAAAAAAAAAATTTAAAAAAAAATAAATAAATAAAACAATACCATTTACATTCACACCTCCCCCAAAATGAAATATTTACAAAATCTGTACAAGATCTCAATGAGGAAAACTATAAGATCTGATGAAAGAAATCACAGAACTAGATAGTTTCCATGTTAATGATAGGAAAATTCAATACTGTCAGCATGTCAGTTCTTCACAAAAGGGTCTATAGATTCAATGCAATCCCAAGGAAAAAAATGTGGTTATTGACAAAATGATTCTAAAGTTTATATGAAGAAGCAAAAGAAGCAGAATAGTCAACGTAATAGTAAAGGAGAAGGCCAGAATCAGGAGACTGATGCTACCCAACTTCAAGATTTACTATAAAGCTACAGTAACTAAGACAGTATAGAATGAATAGACCAATCAATGGAACAGAGACCCCAGAAAGTTATACAAATATAGGCAATAGATCTTTCATAGAAGTACAAAGGTAACACAATAGAGAAGAGTCTTCAAGAAATTGTGTTGAAACAGCTGGACATCCATATGCCATACACACACACACACACACACACACACAAATATATATAATATATAATATAGACACAGACCTTACACCTTTCATAAAAATTAACTCAAAATGGTTTATAGACCTAAATGGAAACAACAAAACTATAAAAATCCTACATAGGAGGAAACTTAGATGACCTTAAATATGGTGATTACTTTTTAGTTACAACACCAATGGCATAATTCATGAAAGAAACAATTGGTAAACTGTACTTATTAAAACAAAAACTTCTATTCTGCAAAAGACATTGTTAAGAGAATGGGAAGACAAACCACAGAGAAGGAGTTAGTTGCAAAAGACCTGATAATGGACAGTTATTCAAAAAGTATTTTTTAAAACTTTAAAACTCAAAAATAAGAAAATGTACAACCAGTTAAAAGCGAACAAGAGATCTGTACATATATCACACCAAAGAAGATTGATGCCAAGCAAATATATGGAAAGATGCTTAAAATCATGTCAATAGGGATTTGCAAATTAAAACAAGATACCACCACACATGTGCAGTGAATATCTAAAACAACACCAGAGGGGCGCCTGGGTGGCTCAGTCAGTTAAGCGTCCGACTTGAGCTCAGGTCATGATCTCGCGGTTTGTGGGTTCCAGCCCCGAGTTGGGCTCTGTGCTGGCAGCTCGGAGCTGGGACCCTGGAGCCTGCTTCGGATTCTGTGTCTCCCTCTCTCTCTGCCCCTCCCCCACTCACACTCTGTCTCTCAAAAATAAATAAGTGTAAAAAAAATTAACTAAAAAAAATAAAAGCAACACCAAATGCTGGTGAAGATGTATCAAGCACTTTTGTTAGCTGGTAGCAATGCAAAATGGTACAGCCACTTTGGAAGACAGTTTGGGAGTTTTCTCACAAAACTAAACATACTGTTACCAAACAATCCTGCAGTTGTTCTCCTGGGTATTTACCCAAAGGAGTTGAAAACTTACGTCCACACAAAAACCTGCACATGGATATTTACTGCTGTTTTCTTCACAATTGAGAAAGCTTGGAAGCAACCAAGATTCCTTGGAAGCAACCAAGATTACAAGGGAGTGGTGAATGGTTAAACTGTAGTATGTCCAGATATTGGAGTATTTTTCAGTGCTAAAAAAAGCAATGAATATTATTCAGAATTATGACAAGACACGAGGAAATTTTAAATGCATATTACTATGTAAAAGAAGCCAATGTGAAAAGGCTACATAGTGTATGATTCAGCTAACCACATTCTGGAACAGGCAAAACTATGGAGACTATATGATGGTTAGTGTTATATGTTAACTTGATGGGGCCATATGGTACCATGATTTTTTTATTTGTTTGTTTTTTAATTTCTTAAATTAAAAAAAAATTTTTTTTCTAATCTTTACTTTTGACAGAGAGAGCATGAGCAGGGGAGGGACAGAGAGAGGGAGACACATAATCTGAAGCAGGCTCCAGGCTCTGAGCTGTCAACACAGAGACCGACGTGGGGCTTGAAACTCACTGACCGCGAGATCATGACCTGAGCCAAAGTCAAACGCTTAACTGACTGAGCCACCCAGGTGCCCCTGGTGTCATGATTAAATATTATTTCTGGGTGTCTGTGAGGATGTTTCCGGATGAGATCAGCATTTGAATAAGTGGGTTTAGTAGACTGCCCTACTCAGTGTGAGTTGGTATCATCCAATCCATTGAGAGCCTGAATAGAACAAAATGCAGAGGAAGGAAGAATTTGCTCCCTGCAGCAACTATTGCCGTGGTGTTCTTACAGGGAATGTCTATATCCCTCATTTCTTCTACACTTATTAGTTGGAATTCTTCTGTAAGAAAGAGTTGTCTCTTCTACTTCATTTATTTACTCATTGTTTATATCAATATAGACTAGAGGATATTTATATTATTTTTTTTATTTGGGTTTGTGATCTGAGAATGAAAACCTCAACCCTGAAAATGGAGGGAAAGTCTGAATATTATCAGAATCTAAATTAGAGTAACAGAAACCTGCTCTGATGACTTAATCCAAAGGATATGAGGAAGACAGACTTGGCAAAGCTGGAGAATTAGCCAGGAAAGGCGTCTGGGAGTCTGGAAGCCCCCAGGCAGGACTGACCTTCTTGGAGGGGACCTCGGTTGCTGGGGACCGGTTCTGCTGTTTTCAGCCTCTCTAACCACTCCAACCAGGATTCAAATCCACTGGAAGTGCCTCTCTCTTGGCTGGAAGAGGAAGAGGGCTGATGATGTTACTACCAGACTGTTTCCGTGAGAAAGAGAGGAAATTGATGGTAGGTAGCCAGAAACCACGCAGCTTTCAGTCCCTTGTAAATCCACCCTCCTCCTCGGAAACAAAGGCTTAAGCCACGCCTCTCTCTCCCCTACCCCATCCCGGATCCCGATCAGCAGCAAAGTCAGTGGGTTGCTCCACTCAGCAACTTCCCCACCTCCAACCCCACTCAAAGCAAGCTCCGGCTCTCTGATGCCATCACAAGGTTTGAGGAAAACAAACAAAACCAAAGAACAAAAACAAAAAACAAAACCTCGTGATATGATACGATGTATTAGAAAGGACCCAGTGCCTGGGGCAGCATTCTAGTCCCTTGGCCTGGAGCAAATGTCTTTACCTTCTGGAAGGGTCTTTGCCTTTTCCACTGTGAAGGGGGTATGGTGCCCTTCATAATCTCTGAAGTCTCCTGAGAGGTTAAAAAGCCTATAATTAAGATTTTAGAGTTCAAATGCAACAGAGAAAACACATAATGAGGATTATGTCATATGAAAAAATGTTGAAGAAATGGAGCATTCTAAGTGTCTGTAAAACAAAATTAGACCTATTTAATGAGGTCATAGATTCTTAATGTTGGAAGAGACCTTCCTTAGAGCTGTTTTCCAAAATCCTGATGTGCGTGAGAATCGCTTGGGGATCTTTTAAAACGCAGACAGTGATTCAGTAGATCCGGGTGGGGGGATGGGCACTGCTTTGTCTCAGTTTTGACTGCACATTGGAATCTCTTGAGGAGCTTTTAAAAAATACTTAAGCCTGGGCTCCTCCTCCCCCAACCCCACAAACGAGATTCTTATTCATTTGATTCAGAGTACCGTCTGGTTATTGGGAGAGTCAAAAACTCCCAGGTGATTCTAACAGGCAGCGAAGTCTGAGAACTGGGGCCTGAGACCAGAGCTTCTTCAACTTTAGCGCGCATGAGCATCATCTGGAGGACTTGTTAAAACACAGCTGGAGGGACCCCGCCCCCAGAGATCAGGACTCTGCAGGTCTGGGATGGGGCCCCGGATTTTCGTGTCTAACAAGTTCCCAGGTGATGCTGACTCTGCTGGTCCGTCGCCTTGGGGGCCATCTACTTTGACATTGATGTTTCCCATGTGGGAACCCAAGATGAAATGACTCGCTCAGGGTCTTCCCATACCAGGTTTCCTGTCTCCGGGTCCCGGGGTATTTCCTGAGCCAATCCTTCCAGCTTCCTCTTCGGCGTCCCGCCTTCATCCCCAGGTTCCCTGCGGAGCCGCTCAACAGCAGCCCGAGCCGGTTCCCAGGCGTACGGCGGGGCCGATTTCCGTGTAGTGGGACGCCCTCGCAGAGCTGCCGGCACCCTGAAGGTGCCCCGTGAAGACTGGCAGGCTGGCACCGCCGAAGCCCGGTACACCGCGCGCGTCCCTCGCAGTGGCTTAATTCTCCACCGGGTCGGTCGGAGGCGGAGGCCTATACTGGCGGGGGAGGGTTGCCAAGGCAACGGGAGCCCTCCCTCCGCACACACCCCTCCCGCACCCCGTCCCCTTGCTGACCTGGAGCCGCCGCCCGGGCGCGGGCTGAAGAAAGGGATTGGTGAGCGGAGGGGCGGGTTCGGGCGCGGAGAGGATAAAGGCGCTCGGGTTTCCGCTCGCGGCGCTAGGATCTCGGGCCACGTGCTGCTGCAGCGTGGGCTCTCGCAGCTCAGCATCTCTGGGAGGCTCATTCGGAAGGTCAGTGCGGAGGTGGCCGGACGCTACCCCGGCGGCTGTACCCAGGAGCAGATCCACCACCGCCCCCCGCCTTCCCCGGCTCCCGTTGGGACTCCGATCGATGTGACCCGGCCGTGAGCGCGGGTCTCCAGCCGTCGCCGCGGAGCTGGGAGCCGGGAGCCCGGGCCCGGGGGTGGACTGGGAGCCGCTCGGTCGACCGGACGCGACCCCCGACCCCTTCCACTTTGCAAGGGCAACCTCCACCAAGGAATAGAGATAGGCGCGGCTGTTCTCGTAAAACCGGTTTACCCGGTCAACTCCCAGGGAGGATGGGACCCCACACCCTTTTCCCCAGGAGCCAGGCTGAGGTCGGGAGGCCCGTGTGCGGCTCACCCCCCGCGTCTTCTTGGGTCCCCTCTCCCCGGCAAGTGTGCATGGGAGGAGGACACTCGCTCTTCAGAGCCGGACTGCCCTCTGAGACCCTCTGTATCTCATGCTTTTTAAAACTCTGGCATTTTTTTCTAGACCATTTCTGGCTTTCGGCTCATCCCCACAGTAAGTCCAGATTTTACCAGCTCGTTGATGGAGTCTTTGCGTTTAGCAGTGTGGCTAAGTGCTCTAACTAGATTGCTCCATTAAATCCTCTCAGTAATCTAGTGTGGTGGTCCCATCATTTTCCCCTTTCTAAAACTGAGGAAACTTGAAGTTTGGCAAAGGCGTGTAGGCAGGCTCTCACAGCAAGAGAGTTGGCGGTGTCCTGAACCCCTTAGGCTGCTCGGGTGTCCTCCTAGGGAGGGGCGCAGAGGAACCGCATTGGAGGGGGCTTGGGGGGGGCATGTGGAGGGTACCTTCTGCGCGACCACGGGGATGTTCCTCTTTGTCGTCTTCTTGGGTACCTGATCGCATCTCTTTTCTTGTAGGAGAAGAGTAGGGATGGTGGGAAGGAGCGTTTGAGACTCAACGAATCTGGTTTCCTACCCCTTCTTGGTGATTAGTATTTGCCTGACCTTGGACAGGTCAATTCATCCTGCCAAACGGAGAAAAGATGTCAGCTTCAGGGTTACCGTGAGGGTTCAGTAAGAGTTCAGGAAAGCAGGTGTTTGATCAATGGTCATTAGTTATGAGGTGCCTGGTTTTTCTTTGGGTCGGTACTGTTAAGAGCACACATTTAGTATTATTTAGTCAACCGGAAGATTGAAAGGAGAGATTGCCTTGCATGTGTTTTATAAGTGTTATTGGTCCTTAAAACAGGCTAAGAGGGAGAAGTGAAGGTGGGCGTGGTCAGCAGTTTACTGGAGCAAAGAAAGTAATCGTCCACTAGGCTAGGGCACATCTTCCTTGAAAGCAGTTTCACCGATTGTTAGGAAGCCCCACTTTGAGGAGTAGGGAATGAAGGTTGGGAGCAACCGGTGGGTCCTGGAGATACCTGAGACTGGGAGAAAAGATGAAGCCGGTAGAACAAAAGAGGTTTCAGCAGAGGGAGGAGAACAAATTGGGGAGTTAAGTGGGAAAAGGGCTTGGGAGTTTGGGTGAGACTGAAGATGGTAGGCACCAACTGAACTGTTAGGTCTCTGGAGACAGCATTGATCTCTACTGGGCAAATTTTCTAGCTCCTCAGCAACATATGTCTGTGCAGACCATTTGTTGGTGCTGGAAACTTTTTCTAAAAGTGCATTTAGGGGTGCCTGGGTGGCTCAGTTGGTTAAGCGCTGGACTCTTACTTTCGGCTCAGGTCATGATCTCAGGGTTGGTGAGATCCAGCCCGGTGTCAGGCTCCCAGACTCTGTTTGGGATTCTCTCTCTACCCCTCCCCCGCTTGCACACAGTGCTCCCTCTCAACTTGTTTATAAACATTTTTTAAAAAAATGAATTTAAATTTTATTTTAAATTGTGGTTCCAATCGCATAATGTAAAATTTACCACGTTAACCTTTTTTAAATGTACAATTCAGTGGTATTAAGTATATCCATGTTACTGTGCAACAGATCTGTAGAACTTTTTTCATCTCAGAAAACTGAAAGCATATGTCAATTAATTAAACACTGATATTCCTTCCCTGTTATCCCCCACTCCTTGGCAACTACCTTTCTACTTCCTTTTTCTGTGATCTTCATTACTTTCCATACCTTGTAGAACTCGTAAGAGTGGAGTCATACTGTATTTGGCCTTTTGTGACTGACTCATCCATTTGGCATGTTCTGGGGGTTTATCCATGTTGTGGCATGTGGCATGATCTCCTTTTTCAAGGCTGAATAATATACTGTTGTGTGTATATACCACATTTTGTCTGTCCATTCATCTGTCAGTGGCTGGATACTTTTACCTTCATGCGTTAGTGCTGGAGATATGACTTAATAGTTCTTAGTTACTATCTCCATGGCTAAGAATGATTAGGGCTAGAATCGAAGGAGATCACAAGGCAACAAGCACATGAAGGGAAATTGATGGTGTACCCTCAAGGAAAAGGCCTATTTTGTTGGACTGAAGTGTTTCAATTTAGAGTTTCTTTTAATATTCCTGAAACAGAATTATCTATCTTCAGAGCAATCACAAGTGAAGTGAGTTTTTCCCCTGAGAAACTGAAGTAATTTTTTTCAGAGAACAGGGGCATTCTGTATTTTTTGTGTGGTGTAGACAAACCCTTGATATTTCCTGTTTTCTCCTTCCGGTCTATCTGTTACACACGGTGTTTGGTGAGTACTGACATACATCAGGTACTCCTAGGAACTGCTCATAAGCACTCACAACTTTATGAGAGAGACAGCCATATTGTCTCCTGGCACCGAAAACCAACATGTCCAAATCCAAACTCCTTGTCTTCTCACCTGATCTGCTTCTCCAGGGAGCCCATTCTTACTGTAGCACAAATTAGAGACCTCAGTATTATTCCCCTTAATTCCTTAACTAGCCCTGCCATATCTGTACAATGACCAAAGCCACTTGAGCTCTGAGTCTTTATCTGTATCACCCCCACTCTCTTCCTGATGTCACTGCTGTCTTAGAGTTCTGTGGTTCATGCAGATAGGGTACATGCCAGGAGATGGGAAAAGTGGTATAGGAACCACCCTAGAGAGGCCTGGGTTCGGGAGGCACTTCATTATTTCTGGGGAGGAGTCTGTCGTTGACCTTTTTCTTTTTCATCCCTTTGCAGTTAAAGTAAACAAGGTGCTTGGGAGAGAGTCTACGGACTATAATCTGATCTTTAAAGAGGGACAGAGAATCTTTGATGGTTTCCCTTTATACATTTATTTTTTTTTTTTTTATTTTTTTTAATTTTTTTTAAAAATTTTTTTTTTCAACGTTTATTTATTTTTGGGACAGAGAGAGACAGAGCATGAAGGGGGGAGGGGCAGAGAGAGAGGGAGTCACAGAATCGGAAGCAGGCTCCAGGCTCTGAGCCATCAGCCCAGAGCCCGACGCGGGGCTCGAACTCACGGACCGCGAGATCGTGACCTGGCTGAAGTCGGACGCTTAACCGACTGCGCCACCCAGGCGCCCCTCCCTTTATACATTTAATAACTAGGTTGGCAAGGCAAATTTTACTTTAGAGCAGCTCTCCTCAAAGTATGAGACAGATTTTAGGGTCTATGAGGTCAAACTGTTTTAAAAATAAGACTGAGATGTTATTCGCCATTTTCATTCTTTCTCTGACAAGCATACAGTGGGAGTCTCCATGACTTGTGATGAGCCTTTCCTCTGATGGCTAATGAAATGTGTGCTTGTGTCTTCTAGAATCTCATGTTTCTAGAACTTTCTAAGGGTAAGTAGGCTTGGAGTATAAATCTGTGTTTTCAGAGATAAACTCAGTTTATTTTTAGTACTTCTACTACATGCTTACTAGCTATCCAGTTATACCTACTATCACCTCTGTGACCTCGTTTGCTTTTATTAAGTCATTACTTTGAAATCTCTAAGTTTTGCATATATGGAAAAAAACCCCACAAAAAGTAAGTATGCTTTGTAGTCTTGATTTGAAAACTTTTCTAAATTTTTAAATGATATAAAATTATTCTAAAATAAAGGATATTTATATATTTTTTATATATAAGGATAGATTGTCTGCTAAACAGGAAGATATTAGAAAACTTGATTTTTTTCTTCTCAAAAATGTACCATTCGTGTCTATAAAAGCTGGGGGAAAAAAAATGAAATGATCTATCAAAATTGTCTGAATAATGGAAGGGAGGAATTTACTCCAGAGAAGTAGACAGAACTAAAAAAGACATAAAAATGTGACAGATTGTGTCAGTTTTACATATGTTAGAAATTTACATTATATGTCTTATGCAGCAGAACCTTTTTTGAATAATGTTATGGTACCAGTAGCATTATTCTGAGATCAACCATGCAGAGTCCTCTAAAGAAAAAAATGAATTGAATGGCTTAAATGTAGCTATGATGAGCTCTTTAAAAGCCAGAAATGATTTGTCACAGCTTTCCAAACCAGCAACGAAAAAGCTATTGAAGCTTCGGGCAAGCTAGGTTATCCAATTGCGGTGGCTGGAGAAACACAATAAAGCCTTGTTGGGATGAAAAAGCATTGAAAGGAATCATTAGCACTGTCACTTTCTAATAATACAGAAGCTTGTCAAATTAAAACTTTCGCTGCACACATGAAGACCGCATTAGTATCTTAACAGAAGCGAATTTTACCTTACAAATCAATGGAAGAACTAGCAGCCTTGGCTAGATTTGTCATTTTGTTTGTATTCCTTTGGTATCAGCACCAAACCGCTCACCAGAGAGCATCTTTTCAGGAGGTGCTTGGCAGCAAATACAAGTGGTGCCAAAGTATTCAGCGTAGAAGAACACTTTTAAATTTCAGGCTTTATCTGGGGACGACTGCATTGAATTTGCACCGCTGGGGCAAATTTAGTGTTGACTAAAACTACTGGTGCCTTTACAGGAATCGAGGCCGTGGCATCAAACGACCAGTAGATGGTCTTCTTCGTGGGCTTTCAATAAAAAAATAGAAAAGAAAAATTTGCCAGATTTACTTACGAATGCCCTTTATATAATAG